TGTGTGTGTGTGTGTGTGTGTGTGTGTGTGTGTGTGTGTGTGTGTGTGTGTGTGTGTGTGTGTGTGTGTGTGTGTGGGTATACGGGAGCTAAATGCGGGCGAGCGACAGCGCACAGTAGCGTGATTGTACGTGTAACTGACAGTGACCCTGGATTACCATAGATACCAGCACGGACATTTCGTAAGTTTGTCTGCCGGGTTACGCGTGCGTACTGCAAACCAGTTCCCGAGCAACAGCAACAATACAGAGGAGGAACATCGTGCCAGAGAGTCATCTCAAAAGCTATATACTACAAAAGTAACACATACGGTTTTGTTCTCATCTCTGTTTTGTTTGCCCTCCTAGTCCCCACTCCTAAGAAGCGTACATCCCCGTGAGGCTCGGATTGGTGCTTCTGATCGTGCGGCTGCATAAGTGGACACCGCCCTAGCATATAGGTCTGATGCCCATTCTTCCTTAGATATATTCCCCATACTTCCCTAGATATATTCCCCATACTTCCCTAGATCTGTTCCCCATACTTCCCTAGATCTGTTCCCCATACTTCCCTAGATCTGTTCCCCATACTTCCCTAGATATAATCTACACACTATATTTGAACCCCTAACATTCCTAGATCTAAACACTACACTTCCATAGATATTTGAGGCCCCACACTTCTCTAGGAGGACACCTCCCTTGCTTCCACCCCTCCCGCTAGCTACCGTCTCCCTGATTCCCGCTGTTCTATCGCAGACTTTAAGACGGCGGCGGTGTGTGAGGGATCGACGCAGATCATCGCCTGCTGGAGCGATGAGATGATGCTGGTGGAGCATGCGTACTACGACGCCATCATCCGTCCTGGCAACGCCTGCCACAGCAACCAGGTGAGATGCCCTTAGACATACGCGAGTGGGGCACATCGACGGGCGAGTAGGGCTGGGAGATGGAGGAGGAGTAGAGAGGGCGGGAGCAAGAGGAAAGGAAAAGGGAATGAGAGGTGTAAGAGAGGAGGATGGCATATGCCGTGGCCCTGAGGCACCTAGTCGTATATTAGACGTAAGGTCCCCCACTGTATACACTTGCCGTGTATTTTTCATCAGTCACCATGCGTCCTCATACCGTGTATTCTTGCAGGGAAGCAGTAATTGTGTGAACGACATCACGGAGCCGGTGCGTAAGAAGTGCTCGGGCTACGCTAGCTGTGTACTGAAGCTGCCCAGCCTACCCTTCCCCAACACGTGCGGACCAAATAATAATAATAATAATAATAATAATAATAAAACAATAATAATAATAACTAATCACGAAGAAATGTCGAGAGTTCTAATAACTATTGTGGATTTCATCCATTCGTCCCTTATGTATGTGGTCATGCAGGAACCAACTAACACGCGTTAATTCTATTATTATTCGACGATTTGAATGGACATGAACGATTAAACATCGAATATATGACTATAAAAGTGAAGGTTCATACATCATGCACGTCATATTTACATGCACTTATATCATGATCTAATTCTCACATATAGGATGTGACGGCTGGTTATATATGCATCATAAGTTTATCGCACATTAAGGAGAAACCTCGAAGGAGCGGTCAGTGATATGTATAGGTTGTGAGATAAAATTGGCTGGTCAGTGTAAATATCTCACATACTCGACGCCGTGTCGTAAACCAACATCCACTGCTTACAATCGGCTGTTGTAGAACACATATTAATAATATTTCAGTGCACGCTATATAGCTCGTGTCAACACAGCTTAACAGTCGAGACAGCTTAACGAAAACCTGTATAGGAAACCACGCGGTATAACGATCAAGCTAACTCATGCGTGAGCGCGTGAAGGTGGAGTGGCTGACTAGAAGACTGCACTTATAGCCGGTTCCTCCTTCATCGCTTAACTTTCAAATGAAACACGGTGATATTAATGTGCGACTATTGTAGTTTACTAATAGACGAGCTGCCCTTGCCGCGCTCTGCATAGATAATGTGCGGATATGTTGTGACCGCCAAAATCTCGTCGGTTGCTGAAGGAATGTGATTTTGCCAGAATTTCCCAGCGTTTTACGAGAGCACCGGCAATAACGACAAGAGATATACCTGTCTGCAGAGTCACGTTGATTTCGTTGCTTGTCAGGATGAAATTTAAAAAAGCACATCAATTAACATTATTAACTCTCCATTAATTAAAACTGTTAATATAGGCCCTCCTGTATATATTAATTCAATCGCTGAAGTTTTCTTTTCCCTTTATTGCTCTAATCTCGCGCCAGAATGCGCGCGCGCCAAATGTACGTCTTCCGTACCAAATGGAGAGACGGTCGGCACCTGCCGAGTAAGTAAACACACTCGCTAATTCATACGCTCAGTTAGTCAACACGCGTGATAGCTAGCTACCGACCGATTCATAGCCTAGACTGACCGAGTAGCGTGGTATATATAGTCAGTGACCGATTCATAGCCTAGAATGACCGAGTAGCGTGGTATATAGTCAGTGACCGATTCATAGCCTAGAATGACCGAGTAGCGTGATATATAGTCATCATAGTAGCTTTCCTGGCTGCTGCTTTGATCGCCTGCCCAGGATAGACCCGCAGGTCACTCATGCAGATGCCTTTTGGAGCTCCCTTCCTCAGAGATTTTACCGTCGGTGCGTGACCATGTAGTGAGTAATGCTTGCTCGTGACTGGTGGCCAACAACAAGGGAGTCGCGCTTTGAAAGCCGCGGCTTTACTTACATTCTCCTAGTGGGGAAGTACAGAGCGTGCGGAATCCACACACAAGCACGCCTAGACGCCTGCCAACGCCCTAGGTGTGTGTGTGTGTGTGTGTGTGTGTGTGTGTGTGTGTGTGTGTGTGTG